GAGAGTATTGGAAGGGAATGTTGTACTCTTAATATTATTATAAACCAACACACTAAACACATATTTGACCCAATTGACACAAACAACTATATAGTACAAACACACAATTTTGGCATTTTGCTTCACAAATTTTTCACTAACAAAATCTACTTTTATTATTATTTGAAAAAATATATATTTAACTCAGTATAAAAAAGTTTGGTGAACAAAAGCTATAAAATCTTGGTGACCTTTTTCCTCCTCTATTATGCACTATGAAGTGAAGGTCTCCATAAATCAAAATGGACATTCTTCTTCCTCTATTATGCTCTATGAAGTGAAACAACAAGGTATTAAATTCTAGTGGTGGTGTCAAATGGGTCAAGTTTATTGATATATATCAAAATATATGGTTGACTATAATATAAATTATATAATATTACTTTTTAAATAACACAACATTAGCACAACATATGCACAAAATATGTACGACGTAAATTAATGTTTCTATCATCCTTGGAAAATATAGAAAACAGCTCATTTTAACATCTCTAGTTAAATAAAGTTAAATGAGTAAGTAAAAAATGCACAAATTACCTAAACAAGCTACCACTATGAGCTTCTTTACGATCATCTAGGGTGTTAAAAAAGGAAATAATTAATGATACTTAAAAGGAAAGCAAGGGATAAAAAAATAATGTCAATAGAAAAAAAAAAAATTATGAATAATAGTTGAGGTGTAAGAAAACGACAAACTTGAGATAATTATCTTCTCACTTCATTCTTCCTCCTTTTGAATGGTAGTTAAATTTTTCGTCTATTAAAACCTCATGATATGAACAATCTTTGATGAGTATTTTTCTTTACCCCTGTCCACTATATTTTAAGCCATCAACACTGTAAATCTTTCATACATAAGTGAGGTTGGTAGGCTTTGCAGGGATTTGAGCCCCGAGCTCTGCCTAATTTCCAAATTTTTAAGAGAGGTGAGGCTTCACAAACTTAAATTCTGTAGGCCACACAATAAGGATTTAAGATTTTCACAATCCCATAACTTAAATTCTGTAAGACATGAGTTATTTTGAAATGTCTTTGCTATTGACTTCATGATTGAACAGGAAAAAAGATGTAGTGTTTGTCTAAAAACGTAATTACAAAATATATAATATTTATTTTTCAACAAATTATTTTTGGTTAATGAACATAACAATTATATCTCCAATTAATGTCGTATTTCCAAAGGGAAATTAAATTATTTATTTAAATATATATTTGGTTTTAAAGATGGTAAAAAGAAAAATCTTTGATTTAGTTTTTAACATGACCTTTGAAGAACAGGGTTGTATTTTTTCAAATTTTCAGTTTTTAAATAGGATAAGAAACATAATATTGAATTCCTTAAAAAAAAAAAAAAAAATATGTATATATGTCATGAGAAAACATCTAAATTAAAACTATATTGACAAAAATTAGTTAATTTCATATATCCTTCAAGATCGGTTAATTTCAAACAGACCTATAATTTTAGAAAAATATTATATACCCTTTGAATTATTAAAAACTCCATTACAAAAACATCAAAAACACCAATTAAAAGAATTTTTAATAATTTCATCAATAAATCCCAAAATATTTATCATTTATATATTAATTCCAAACATAGAGACAAACAAATTTAGTAAAAACACAAAACGGTTGAAGATTTTGACAGGAAAAAAGAACCTTTGAACAATAAATGAAGAATAGAGAAAACATCCGTACATATAATTGACATTTAATTTTTTGTTTAGGGTCAATATCATTAGAAAGTGACATAAATAACATAATTATACGGTTAATGTCGGTCTAATCCCAATGTGAAACTTAATTTACTTACTAATCAAGCCCTATTCATCTTTTAGCCCACCCCCGCCCCATCCAATTATCATCTTAATAATAATTGCAAACTTATCTTCATTTTTTTCTCGAATTTTTTTTCTTAATTTTTAAAAAATTCATGTTATGTGTCAATGAAAAAACTAAATAGGTTTATATATCATTGTCTTAACATGTATCTTTAAGATACTTAAAAGCGCTAAAAAACAAAAAAATTTACTTATTTTTTATACATATTATATTCAAACAAATTTAAAAAAAAAAAATACAATTTTTAATATATCAAAACACTAATTTTTTTGTCTTCTATTTATATTATCACCCATCAATTTAAAAAACTCAATTGTTTAGATTTTATTTTATCAAATTTTATGCACACCATTTTATTTGTGCGTAAAATATTTTTGCTTAAATATTTTTTTATCAGAACTGCTTATGAAAAAGAATTCTTAAATTTTAGAAACCTTATTATTCCTTTTATCTGAATCATCTAAATTAAAGCACATAAAATATAGTTAAACAAGTTTATGAAATACACATTTATAGGCAATTTGAAGGTATTTATTGTTATTTCTTTTAACTCATTTTCCAATTGTTTGAACCATTGAAAGTTAAGGAGAAATAAGGATGGAAATTAAATAAGGAGAGAACCGTGACCATAAATTAAATATTTGGAATATTTGAGATTCAATACGACTTGCATACTTAAAACAAATTTAAAATGATAAAATTTAAATATAATATCAAGCATTTAAAATGTATTAATCTAGTGACTCAATGTTATGTTCTGAAACCCGGTCCGACCCAACCAATTTAACCGATTGGATTGGAAGTTGGAGCCTTCTCCAGGCCGGATTACCAATTTCTACTGTTCAAGCAAACCTTAGATTTATGGACAACAATCGGTGAGTAGATGGTGGTGAGGTTGTTGGGGGTTTTGGAGAGGAAGTGTTGGTGAGTTGAAATGTGGCAATGGAGGTGATTTCCGGTGAGTGAAACAACCGGAAAATGCAAAAATCAACAGCCACAACAGCAAGCTGTTGCCGACAATTGGTGATGTGAGCAAAGGACGAGTGAAATGAGTTTTGGTTAGAAGGATGAAGGGAGTGTTTTTGTGGTGATGGGGGGCGATTTTAGACGCCAGAAACAGGCCTATTTGGTTAGGGTTTGCAGTCACACGACTAAGGTGTTTTTTGGGGAAAATCATTCGATTTCGATCAAATGTTGAGAAGATTTTCCTAGGAATGGCTCAAAGGATGAGTGAGATTGCATTTGGTGTTACCGCTTCCAACCAGTCAACTGTCGATTTGCATTTGGCCATATCATAAGGGCATGTTTGCTAGATTTCAAACCTATAAGAACTGATACATCATTTTTAGAGGTATGTTTGCTGGATTTCAAACTTGTAGAGACTAATAATATTTTTTATGGGTGTATTTGCTAGATTTCAAACTACTAAAAACATCAATCCAACCAACTGGACTAATCAGTCTGACCGGTAACTCGTCAATTGACTCCTTGACTGGGTCAAGGAGTGAGCTAGGTTTCAGAACATTGACTCAATTTAAAAAAATAAAAAAAAAATTGTAAGATTTTTCTTTCCAACACGTATTTTATAAGATAATTTCTGGACCTCCCCAAAAGTTCCCAAAGTACAATAGACCCCTGAGTACTATAAAGTAACAGCGACCTCCCTTGACCTTTAATATGCCTCTCTCATGGCCCACATCGAGTGCTTACTCACGGTTAAATAGTAAGGAGAAGCCAGATTATTATTATTATTATTAACAAGCAACATATTTCAATTAAGTGTTACCCGTAACTATAATCATAAAATTCGACATAAACCATGTTTAAAATATCTTTACAAATCACAACTCCAAGGTTATGTTTACCTAAAAGTTACAACATTAATCACATTAGTAGACAAGAAGTCTAAAGGTATTACCATGAACTTCATCTCATCGACGTTTAATAAAAGATCAACATCGGTCATATTGTCACACCAACATTATATGCAATAGATGACACCTACCATGATGATTATCCGCGATAGCCTTGTTTGATTTTATGGTTTTTTGCAAAAGACTAAATTGATCTGCCTTGGTTACACTTGACAATTGATTTACAAATCATACCTCAGGCTCAGGGTTGTTGCTTTCAAATACCACTGGCGTCAAGCCGCCCTATCTAATGAAACATTATTTTTTTTATTTTATTGATGCTTCATCAAAAGTGTCAACGTAGAATATAATCCTAATTATAAATCCAGAGGCCCAGAATATGCCCTTCAATTATTGTTTTCAAAATCGGTACCATAGAATAGATCCTTCACAAAACACCACTCCAAAATAATAAGCAATCCTAGGTACCTCCCTAAAGTTTAAAAGAAAATACAGTCTGCTCCAAACGTTCGAAGAAAATTCAATCACCTCCCTCACATTTCGGTTCTCTCTCATATACCTCCCGTAGTCAGGAGTTTCCTAATAGTCAAACTTTAATGGAAGATGCAACAAATTATAATAGTTTCCAACTTCATACGCCATCACATTCTTCCCCATCTTTCATTCCATCCCAATACCCAACTCAGAAAATTCTTTAATAAACTACAATTCAAGCAACAGCCACCAGTGAAAACAGCCCAAGTCATCGGCAACAGCAGCAACCAAAGTTTTTGTCATCGCCACCATGGCATGGATGACCCAAAACAAATAGAAGGATAAAGAGATTTCTTATGTCTATTTTTATCCATTCACATATTCTATTAGAATAACTTCAATGGAAACAAAACATCCCAAGTCATCTGCGTCTAAGCCATGCCAATAGCAACAACAACCAAAGTTCTTGTCATCGCCACAATGGATGACCCAAATCAAATAGAATGACATAAAGATTTCTTACTACTACTTTTCTCCATTCACATATTCTATTAGAATCAAGAACTAATAGTCAGAAGACTTCAATGAAAACAGACTGTGAGAGGAACTGACTTATTTTTCTCAAAATATTTTGGCATTTTCAACATACCCACAAGGCAAAATAATGATAGTAACAATAAACACAAACTAGAAATAAGTAAAAAGATTAAAGACAAAAGTTTGCATTTGCATTAGCATTAGAGCATTAACCAAAGTAAATAACATAAATTTCAAAATCAAAATCCTCCATTTGATTAATGAGTTACATTTAAGTAAACCAAGAACACAATAAAGCCTTAGAAATCAATAAGCAATTAGCTCAACTCTTCAATCATGTAGAGTACCCAAAATATCCTCATCCCTATACAAATGATACCTGCATCAAGCAAATCCCACCAAATAAATATATATTCTTTTTTTAAGATTTCGCCCATAAACTTTGTCAAAAACTTTAAAATAAAATTTTCTAATAGATTTCTTTATTTTAAAGACATCTAAAAGCAAACTAATACTAATTTTGTCATAAATAATGCAATATGTAGTCTTTTAAGTTAAGAAAAATCATTAAAAATAATTAGAAATTAACTCAAGAGAATTTTCACTATACCCACATTAATACTTATAAGTTACTAATTTTCTCTCATAGTTCTATTAATTCAAAAACTTACCTATTGCATTATGCATTAAAATAATCATTTCTACTACAAATCATTAAAAAAATAGAAACTAATTAAACGTAAAGTTCAATTTACCTGAATTAATACTAAAAATTCTCTCAAAATCCTAAATTTAATCCTAAAACTCCCATAAAATTTCCCACATATCCAACAAAAAAAAGTTAATACCAAAGCACTTAACAATAAAAACAAAACAAAAAGCCGAAGAGAACTTACTCTTTTTCGCCAAGCTTGACCTGGGTACCGCCGTACTCAGGCAAAAGCACGGTGTCGCCCTCCTTAAAACACACCGGAATCGTCTTCCCGTCCTTGTCACGTGCGCCGGGACCCACCGCGACCACTGTCCCCGAGTTGAGCTGCTCAAAATTATTAAATCAGACAAAACCCGATCAAATCAGAACCGTCCAATCAGAAATCAACCCAACACAAACACGAAACCCACAACACAAAATACTTGCCTTGCTTGATTTCTCAGGAAGGAGAATCCCGGCGTTGGTCTTGGACGGAGGGACGATTTTCTCGATGAGAACACGGTTGAGGGTTGGGAGCAAGCGCTTCGCCATGACTTCGAAATTAGGGTTTCGCTGAAAGGAGAGCGTTCAGATTACGGGTTATAAGGACGGAGAGAGTTTAGAGTCGAGGCTCTGGAAAGTGATAGAAGGTTCTAGGTTCTAGGGTTTTAGGTTTGGTTTGATTAGCTTGTTAGGGTTTTAGAGAAGAATGGGCTTGTTAAATGCTATTTACATGGTCTAGAATGGTTATCGGGCCAACAGTATCCTGTTATCACCTTATTGGTACTGGCCCAACCCGACAAAATTCCTCCTGTTGATTAAAACATGCCTGATAAGCTCATGTATTAGTCAATAACTTATTGTTACTATAATTTTCTAAATAGGAAGTGATTTTAAGCTCCCATCTAATTGATTGGATAATGCTACAGTCATCAGGAGTAGTACACAAAATTTATGCACCGAATGACGTGACACAATCCTGATCGTCGATTAATATTCAGTTATAATTAATAGACAGTTAGGATTTCGTCACGTCATTCGGTGTATAAATTCGGTGCACTACTCCCGGTGTCTCTATTTTTAAATATTTTATTTGTTTTGACAAATTTACCTTTAATGAAAATTATTAGAAATAACATTGTAGTAACTACACTCTTATTCTATTTTACTTTTTTTTTTTTTAATCTTTAATTGTTGGAAAATACTACACCCACAACTTTTTCTCATAAACTTTTTCTCACAACCCCGACGTGATAACTCGTCATTGGTTAACTCGCAAATGAGTAGACGAGACTCATTTTGTGAGCTGACCAATAACAAGCTGTCACGTCGAAGTTGTAAGAAGAAGTTGTAGGTGTAGTATTACTCTTAATTCTTACATAAACCCTAACCCTAAATTTTCATAATCATTGAAATATTTTATTTTATTTCATCTCTATTCTTTGTCTGTTTAATGAACTATATTACTATAACTATAAAGTAAGGTAATCAAATAAATCTGAATCTGAATCTGAAGAAGAAAAAATCAAATTTGAAATATGTAAACAAAAAAAACTAATTGAGTTTGAGATTTTGGCAGAGAAGAATAACGGCAATGAAATTTAATTCAAGAGAAACTGCATATGGCAGAGATAAAAAAATAGATAATAGGGTTATAAAAAATTTAAAATAATCTTAATCATTATTGGAAACTTATAAAGAGATTCATTGGGCTTAAATAAGATCAGTCTAATTGAATTTGGGTGATGAAATGTTCAAGCTTATTGAATGCTATGTAAATGCCGTGGAACGGTTGTCGGGCTGATAGCAGCCCGTTATCACTTATTGGTACTGGGCCTACTGGCCCGACTCGATAAGCCCCCGCGTTTTGAGTTAATGACATTTTCATCCCTGAGATTTGGAAGAAAATATCACTTGGTCTAGTAAAATCTGAAAAAAGTCATTATAGTCCTGTCAAAATACTGTTAATACTTTGAAACTGAAATACCTATATACCCCTATTTGTCTTAATAAGAATAAAAAATAGGAATTTAAAGATTAATAATAAAATTACAGAAATAAAAAATAAAAAAATGAATAGATTTCATAAAAAAATAAAAATATTTTTAAAACTAAAATTAAGATTTGAACCAAAACAAATCCATACCTTCCAAAACAAAACTAATTTTTTTTTTCTCATATCAAATGTTTTATAATTTTACTGGAGTAAACTATTCTTCCCACCCAAATAATGGCTTATGACCATTGTTAAAAACCGACCCCGCCCGGCCGGTAACGAGACCAAATGGTGAGCAGATCGGGTGAGGCTCAAAACGTTATATCAGTCTACCACTACACCCGCGATTGGATCGGTGCAGTAGCACCCGTCAGTCCAACCTTATTTTAAAAAAAACTGGGTCAGCTAATTTATAAAATTAAAAATTTAAATTAAACTCTTAAACTGTAAAACCATACATTATAATTATATAAATTGATAGTAAAAACCCCCTACCCCCCCCCCCCCCCCCCTCCACATTTCACGGCATTTCTCACATTTTGGTATGAAAGTATGAAACTGAAATCTTCCACCGGAGTCTCCCATTCACCATTGAATCTCGTCGCTTCAGCCTTCACCTTCAACTGCTTACTTCGTTGTCAGCAGGGGTACTGCAACTCTCCTCCCATTTCGTGATCTTCTCTGTCCTAACACACTCTTCTTCACTGCCGATCTACGTTGTTCATCCATCGTCGTCAATCTTCTCAGAGCTACACAACCGATCTCGTCTTCTTCTTGCCCAGGAATTGTCGCTTCTTCCTCTCACATTGCTTGAATCTCAGCTCTTTATAGTTGCACTGTTCACAGCTTAGCTCCACCTCTCTGACGGTCAACTCAACTGTCAACGGCAGCTCATCTTCACTAGCACCAGGTAATTTTCATGGTGTCACCTTACTGATGTACATTCCACTATTCCAACTGCAAACCTTTAATTTTGTTTTGGTGAATGATGAATGAACACTTGATTTGAGTTGTTAATTTTGTTTTGGTGAATGATGAATGAACACTTGATTTGAGCATTGAAGAATGAAGATATTAGACTTATTAATATATGACCTGAAGATTGAACAGGGAGGTCGTAAGAGTTAAGACAAACCTGCAAACAAAGCATGAAAGCAACAAAAAAATTTGTTCTTCAGTTCAGCACACACATGAAAAATAATAAGAGTTAATTTTATTAGTAATGTATATTTACAATGCATGAGTATTTGGTTGATTGAGGTTAATTGCCACAATGCATGATTATGTAGTAATAAAATAATTAAATAATAATAACTTATTATTATGTAGTAATAAAATAATTAATAATGTATATTTACAATGCATGAGTATTTGTTTGATTGAAGTTCATTGCCACAATGCATGATTATGTAGTAATAAGGGTTACTTATTAATTATTACTAACTTATTTGTTATTTGTATCGCCAGGTTAGAGATCAACATTAAAGACAGAGAATATGTCATCATCTGGGTCTTGTCAACAATCTACTTCCATGGATGCTTCACAATCTGTTCGAGAAAGAAATGATATAGCATGGGGACATGTTAATGAGAGCGTGGATGAAAACGACATTATTTTAAAACCTGGCCCGGCCTGGCCCGGCCCAGCCAGTTGAACCGATTCATCCGGGACCCAGCTGGTGAGTCGGGCTAGGTGAGGCTTAAAATCGCTTATATCAGTCTGCCCACTTACACCCGCGGTTGGACCGATGCACTGTAGCACCCGCCGGTCCACTCATTATTTAAAAAAAAAAACGGGTCAACTAATTTATAAAATTTAAAATTTAAATGAAACTCTAAAACAGTAAACCCATACATTATAATTATATAAATTGAACAGTAAAACCCCCTTATCCCAAAGCAAATATCAACATTTCCTCCCCCCCAACCCCCTATTTTCACGACATTTCCCACACTTTTCGTCTGAAAGTATGAAACTAAAATCTTCCACCAGAGTCTCTCTTTCACCATCAAATCTCGTCGCTTCAGCCTTCACCGTCAACTGCTTACTTCGTCGTTGGCTGGGGTACCATGAATCTCCTCCCATTTCGTGATCTTCTTTGTCCTCTCACACTCTTCTTCACCGCCGATCTACGTTGTTCATCCGTTGTCGTCAATCTTCTCAGAGCTACACAACCGATCTCGTCTTCTTCTTGCCTAGGAACTATCGCCTATTCCCCTCACATTGCTTGAATCTCAGCTCTGCATAGTTGCCTTGTTCACAGTTGCACTGTTCACAACCGAGCTCCACCTTTCTGACGGTCAACTCAACTATCAACGGTAGCTCATCTTCACCAGCACCAGGAAATTGTCACGGTGTCACCTTATTGATGTACATTCCACTATTCCAGCAGCAAACCTTTAATTTTGTTGTGGTGAACGATGAATGAACACTTGATTTGAGTTGTTAATTTTGTTTTGGTGAATGATGAATGAACACTTGATTGGAGCATTGAAGAATGAAGATATTAGACTTATTAATATATGAGTATTTGGTTGATTGAGGTTAATTGCCACAATGCATGATTATGTAGTAATAAGGGTTAATTATTAATGATGTATATCTACAATGCATGAGTATTTGGTTGATTGAGGTTAATTGTCACAATGCATGATTATGTAGTAATAAGGGTTAATTATTAATAATGCATATTTACAATTCATGAATATTTGGTACAATGCATGAGTATTTGGTTGATTCAGGTTAATTGCCACAATGCATGATTATGCAGTAATAAGGGTTAATTATTAATAATGCATATTTACAATGCATGAGTATTTGGTTGATTGAGGTTAATTGCCACAATGCATGATTATGTAGTAATAAAATAATAAATTAATAATAACTTATTAGTAATAAGGGTTAATTATTAATAATGTATATTTACAATACATGAGTATTTGGTTGGTTGAGGTTAATTGCCAAAATGCATGATTATGTAGTAATAAGGGTTAATTATTAATTATTACTAACTTATTTGTTATTTGTATCGCCAGGTTAGAGATCAACATTAAAGACATAGAATATGTCATCATCTGGGTCTTCTCAACAATCTACTTCCATGGATGTTTCACAATCTTTTCAAGGAAGAAATGTTATAGCATGGGGACATGTTAATGAGAGTGTGGATGAAAATAGGAAGAAGATATTAACATGTATTTACTGTGGCAAGATAATCAGAGGTGGAGGAATTTATCGAGTGAAACTGCATCTAGCTGGTATAAAGAGAAAAGTTGGAAAGTGCTCTAAAGTTCCTTTCGATGTTAAATTCAAGATTGAAGAAGCACTAAATAAAATTGAGGCCAAGAATAAACAAAAAGTTGAACTTCGTCAGAATGTCAATCCTTATGGAGCTAGTATATAACAATTTGAGGGTGATATGTTAGATGAAGATCAAGAGTGTGAAGAAGTTTCTCCATGTCCAGCTCCAACTTCAACTTCAAGCAGTAAGAGAAAAAGATCTATTGGGATAGGTGACTATTTTGCTTCGAGGACTAAGCATGGGTCTCAGCCCTCAATTAAGAGTGTTTTAGCCGGAAAAAAAGCTAAGTGGAGAGCGGACATGGCTGTTGCAAGGTTATTTTATGATTCTTGCATCCCAATTAATGTTATTAATTCAATTTATTTTCAACCTATGGTGGATGTTATAACTGCAATTGGT